TATTATTTTCAATATTTGTGTCATTTGATAGTGATTTGTCATACCTTTATCTATTTTCTTCTGGGGCTATATACTAGAGACACAAGGTGAGCAAGGCAGTGTTTTTTGGGGAATGCAGGTACTTTGGTCCTATTGTTTTAACCCCTTAATATGCAATAACATCCCTTTTTGACACAATACATTTAGTACTGTATGTTCCTGATACCTCTGTTCCCACAAATCTTTTTTCTGTCTAAAAGAACTTGTGTTGTGATGTTCAAGGTTGGGGGAGGATGTTGACACACGAAGGACACAAGTAGTTTTTCGAATGTCAGTTGAGTGACCATCCCACTGGGCTTTTTTATTCAATCTGTGGTCCTAGAGGCAGCACATACAGTTAATTCCAGGGTTTAAAGGAATGAGCTACACTGGCACACTGAACGGGCTGGATGTTTTTAGTCTTGAACAGAGAGAACTATGAGGGGACCTGGAACAAGTATTCAAAATTCTCAAAGGCACTTACAAAATCAAAACAGTGACTACTACAGTATGTGGAAGTGCATTTACTGTAAAACCAAGACCAAGAGGCACATGTTTACCCAACAAGCTGAAATTAGAACAAGTTACCCAACCACGTTTTTGAAGCTGATACTGAATCTTTCTTTAAGAAACAACTGGATAAGACCTTCAGTTCAATTACCTACTCACTACCAAACAGAGCAGGCGAGCTAAATGGGCCCCTCTCATTGGTTGCTTTCATTATGTTCTTATGGAAAGGCTACCACACATAAGATGCAGACTGAAGTGCAAAATTAAATTTGATTGTTTTTGGTCCACACTGCATGTTTAAGAGATCCCCTTTGATGTAATTTAGTATTACAGATCATAGTATCTTGCATATGATTTCTGGTAGCTTGTTAATTATTACAGAATTCCCATTGCAGCTACAGTACAATACAGTACACAGAATAGTTTTACAGTACTTCACATTTTCTTCACTCAGCTGGTGTTTTGCTGTTACCGGATTATGGCTTACTCGTTTCTCAGCTTCAGTAAGCATCTGTTCTGCATCCCTCTTTTGAAAATGACTCAGTAATTTAAAATATTCAGGTTTTAATCACTCCATTGAATCTGATCTGAGATTTGAGTGAATGTGATCTACATTTAAGTATTCCTGTATGCAGAACTAGAGAGCAATGTGTTGATCAGAGGAGTCATACCCATCAATGGACTGTTCAGAATGACTGATTGCTGCTATTAGGCCACATCATTAAAGGAGCACTGTCACTCCCACACTCTCACATCTCCGTTCCTCTGCAACTTTTCATGCAGAGGAAAAGGGAAAAGCACCTGAAATGCCTTTGCCACAAGCTATTTAACAGCCTGAACCTAAGACAGTAATAGTAAATGATGAGTCTTGGCACACATTCAGCACAAACCTAGGGTATTTACATATTTGCTTTTGTGTTACAAGAAAGGGGTGCTTTTGAGGTAGTTTGTACTTTGGTTTTGAAATTCTTGCATTCTTTTTCTTTGGTTAATGTATATAATGTGGATAATTTATTCATTTAATTATTGGTGTGTCTTAGGATAGTATGTGATATGGTGGTGTAGTTATTATTGGTTTCATGTTGTATATTGTATTGTTGTGTTTAATTATATGAGCTCACCAAACTAATTTCCATGAAACTGGTTGGTGTGACAAAAAAATGTTGAACTTGAAAGCAGTTCACCTGGGATCATATTTCGGGGAAAATAAGGGAATTGAAAACTATAGAATACTATGAAATCTAAATAGTACAATAGTTCAATAAGCATAGTGATTAACCCCTGAAACCAAGTTCCAAGTTAATCACTTAAAAATCTATAAATGAGAGTAATGAATCTTATAAGTTATAAGTACTTACAAGTTATGTTTAATGTACATGCATTACTGTAGTGGTCTAGCATTCAAAAGTGGCATTGCAACCATTTCTCTCCGCAGTACCTACAAGAGGCATTGAGATAAGAAAATAACGTTTGGCAAGCTACGATGTACAGTAAGCATGCTGGAAGCAATCACTGGAAATTGGTTAAAACAAAAGTTAAGTCAATGCCCTTTGATTCCAAAGAATTGTCAGATGAACTGCTGACTATGCTTAATGTAGTATTGAAGGCAGTGACTGAGTGGAGCTCCAATCCATTTTCTCCTCTTTACTGGAATCTCACTGTCTTCACTCTCTGCCTTGTTGTAGTTATAAATGAGTTCACTTTTTTCTTACAGTCCCCCCCCCCCCTCCTTTTTGTTTTTTGCATTTAGAAGGTGATCCAATTTTTAAAAAGAAATTTGAGTTTTTCAAACTAAAATATTTCCGCTTCCACTGTTATTCGTATGTTTCTGACAAGCTTCACATGAACAGAGAGCCCTTACAGTTACTGGTAATCCTCCTAGAACTCTGCTATTGATGGACAGCCTGATAGCACAAACCGTGAAAATGAGTTTTATTGAACCGAAAAACTATCAAAGGTCAAAAAGAGGACTCATCAATATTGATGATGCTCAGTATTACTTATCAAATGCTAGATTAGTTTAACAGGCAGATTTGATTCTTATTGCTGATACTGATAGTAAGGTGAAGCCAACAGTAGAAAAGTGAATAGGAATGTCAATATACAGTATAGTGCAAAAGTATTAATTTCTTTTTAATTATATCCTATTTTATTCGATTTTTGAATAATGTAGACATTTCCTAAAGTGAATATTTTTAATGTGGAAACAAATGTTATTTCTGAGGTGAAAGCAGTTACTTTTAACTTACGTGACAGAATGTATTGAGTCTGAAATGTTGTGGCCTTTATAAATAATAGAGTTTGTGTAATGCATGTAAATATCACCATTAATTTTAATTAATATAATTAGCAGATGTATGTGGTTTTTCCATTATATGACAAGTTTAAGATTTGAACATTATAAATTAAATCAAAATATACTAGACTTTTAGTGGAAATATTACATTTCCAGTTATTTTACTCCATTTGTTCACTCTCATGTTCTGACCCGGAGAAAAGAAATCAGATCTGTTGTTCAGCACCAAGTTAACAAGCCAGCTGCCTATTTCTTCACAATTCCAGGTGATAGAAACACATACAGGGGCGACAGCTGGGAGCCCTTTCAAATGGAAGCAGAAGGAATATTGAATCTGGTCAATGTAATGGACTTCTTGCCACCTGACTGTACCTGATTTTGTTTCACATAAAAAAAAACCTTAATCAAAGAAATATCAATTTTAGATTGTGTTTATCACATTACCTTGAATTTCTTAATTCCAGTAAATTTCCACAAGCCACTGACATAAACCTGCTTTCCCTTTTGATGATTATTGTACAGTATGTAGCAAATCTGTCATTTGTGAGGTATACTAATGAGAAATTTGTCACTTATTTCTTTACAAAAAAGTACCTGCAAAACGTACAGTACATGTAACCTTTGGTTTGGTCATCTACCACACCACCCAGCCTCTTTAAAAACTCCTGCATTGACCAGTTGTGTATCTACTCTTCTGTCCTCTTCTCAAGGCAACAGAAGTCTGTGATAGATCCGTTAAACTCCTCTGTCGTATAGACAAGCAAACAAAGCAGTACACAGAAGCAAATCCACTCCAGACAGCAGTGCTCAGGAAATATATTTATTGCTTCCTGAAAGGATTTCTGTGTTGCTGATGACTCAGCCTTCAATTAAGTTTTGAATGCTATTCATAAAAGGGTGACTGCTTGGTGGACCTCTTTGGCACAGTTTTTTTTATTTTCTAAACTTTAAATGTCTAGGCCTGTAAACAAAATGTCAGTGATTCACATGCAGCAAGGTTGGAAAACGAATGGTTACATATTTTCCAGCTAGCGGTTCTAACTTCTTGTAGTGTGATCTTATTATGTGATCCATGCTTGACCACTGAACTTTAAACATGTGCAAAAATATTTGTGATTCTTCCATCTCAGAAGTATTGCCAGACTATGTCCTGTGTTGTTTCTCAATGTAGCAGAAAGGGTGATCAACATGTTTCTTTTCAATAATTTATTACCGTAATGCCCTACTCGCTGGGGTATCTACACTAAACAAACTTCAGTATGTCAAATTCAGCAGCCAAAGTTCTGACCAGGCCAAAGTTCTTGCACTGGCTTCCTATCAGGTTTTGTGTCAACTTCAAATTCCCTATGCTCACCTGTACGTCTCTACATGGCATGGACATCAGTACCTAATTTCACTATGTTTTCCTACTCCCCACCTCTTGCATCTGATTCTGGTCTCCTGTTTGTCCCCCGAGCTTATAGGGAGAAGCAGCAGGAGAAGACCCTCTCATTCTGTGGGTGACAGGGTCTTCTCCTGCTGCACCCCAAAGCTCTGGAACTCTGTCCCCAAGGATATCATACAGGGACGACAGGTGAATTGGGGACATTCAAATCCAGATTCAATACACTTTTCTTCTTAAAAGATTTTCTTTTAATTTATGTCTTTGTCAGCTCCTTGCATCTTCTAATACATTTACTGTATAATCCCTAGTATTTGTACTGATTCTGTCACTGCTATCTTTGCTACTGTTTTCTTTTGTTTTAATTTTGTTTTTGGGTTTTCATGTAAAGTGCTTTGAGGAGATATTTTTAAAGGCCCTACAGAAAATAAGATTTTGTATTATAAGCTCTCAGGATCTGGTCAGTAGATTGATAAGGTCAGTGCAGTAAAAGGTTAGAAAGGTAGGCATTTGTGATCTCTAGAGGTGCCATAATACAGCGTTTACAGACAGTGTGATATACAATGTTGCTTATCCAAATGCTGTGTTAAAAACAAGTCAGAAAACTAAACACAGAGAGCGTGGCAGTGGTGTTTTGTGGTTATATGTTACATTCAAACCAATTTCTTTGCTTTTGGCATTTTTGTATGACCCATTTTATTGGGACAAAAAGAAACCCCTTTGCCATTGAAGATTGACAAGAGCATCAGAGGATGTGAAACGGTGTTTTTTACTTGATGCGTTTGTCTGTCTCAGGGCCTGCAACAGCTGACGAGTTCCTGTACGAGATCCAGTTTGAGTCTGATGATGCCAGGGCTCAGCTGGAGCCCTCTGTAGCACTGTCTCTTCTGGGGAAAGAGCGAGATGCACAGACTGGAATTGTGACATTGATCTTCAATATCATATTTGCTCCCTATAAGCCACTCAGGTAATTACATCTCCCAGCATGCTCTGTTAATGATGGGCGCTAGCATGTCACAGCCTTGATGTTATCATCATATGTTCTTAGTACATCCATTGGAAAAGTGGATTTCTGAAATATACTGTAGATGATAAATAATATAACAGTCGATGAATACATATTTCAGTCTGTTGCTACTTGAAATTGGAATTGGAATTTCTTTGTTATCCAGAGCTATAAAAACACAAATCTCTAGGACACAAAAACAACACACAGACTGAAATAAGGCATTTGATGTAAATATCTTGATTAGGTTATGACATACAGTGAATGTCATACTCTAGATCTTTACCATTAACACTTAATAACTCATGGAAATATAAATATTAATGACCTCTCACCATTTTCACCATAGTGCTAGAAAGCATAAGTCACCAAATAGACTCAGCTCTACTTCGTGAATGTAAAGTTTAATTTGAATGTGAATAGCAGTTGTTATGATGCATCATCAGCAGAGTGTACCTAACTTTGACGAGGGAATCAGGTATGTATTTGTCTTACAAAACCATAACTTGTTTAACAGTTATGGAAAATGTATCAAGAAAGCAATCACAAAGAATTCTATGAATATGGATATGAATTAGCTCTAACCATGGCATAACTCTAGAAAGCAGAACCATGTGAACATATCTAATCCATAAGGTCAAAGCTAGCAGCATGGATAGATGAAGGCAGAATTCATAGTGATTGCTCTATCTTAAAATACACCATGAACTGTGGAGGCTGCTTCTTATAAGAGATAAACATATGCCATTTCACTTTTCAAAATAAGATATGATCTGCTGATGAGCTATGCGAGACAGGTGTCTACTTGCTTCGACCTTATAAGTGATATGGAATCCAAACTTTATTGTGAGATTGTTCCACTTTTTATCATCGGGAATAGCAAAATTGCTAATTTTAAGAATAATTTCTCACAAATGAATATTCTACATGTATAAGCATACTTATACAGGGGGCTGCTAAATAGCCGCCCTCCCGGATGAATAAAGTATTTTGAATTGAATTGAAAACTTAAAGAATTATAAGAGCACTAAAAATGAGTATAAACTGCACCTATATGTTGTATTATTAAAACGCTGCATAAAAAGTTGCATTATTTGTTGTTTTTTTTCCAGTCTTGCTGTTGTATATACTTTACGATAGTTTATACAAAATAACAGGATTATTCTCTAAATGTTTCCAACAACAGTATGTATAAAATGACATACAGTAAATTACTAGTTAATCTAGGGAAGGAAGTAAGCATTAATTCTCTGTAACGCCGTTTATGTTATACTGTATGATACTCTTTACTGCTTCATTCCCTGCAGCTTCATCACCTTGTTTTAAATGTGTTAATGCCAGGTGTTCAGCGGTTCTTGCAGTGCAGTGTGCCACAGGAGGGGTATGGAAATTTCCAATACTGCTGAGCTCCACAGAGCCCAAGGTAGATGATGTCATCAACATTGAAGCCACTGGGTTAAACAAGGCGTCAATGGTGGGATTTAGACTCACAAGCCAAACAAGGTAAGGTTCATGAAACAAAATTAAGCGCCCCGCTAACAGGAAAGTAATAAGTCTGTATCTATGTGTTCAGAGTATTGTATGCTAGTGACGCCCAAGGAAATTGACACTTTATCCATTTTTATTTGACAAAATACTGCTAAAACTGAGTGACTATAACCGCTTAGGAGTTGCACAGATTTCATCGAAACTACTTGACCTACAGCAGTGTACTTCATAATAAATTGTATATTTTAGAATTCAACCTCCCTTTCATTTGTGTGAATTAAATTGCAAATTCCTATTTATTGTAGAATTCTGCAAGGGAAAGCAGAAAGGCCAAAGAACAAATTATTGATGTTTGTTGGCCTTCATTTTTGGGTAGTTGTTGAGTATTCTAGCGTAGTGTGCGGTGATTTATATTCAGTAAAGTGGCTGAGCCACATTCTATGCATGCATAGATTTTAACAATGTGGTCATGCAATTTGTAAGTATTCTTCTGTTTTCTTCTCTTTCTGTTAGCACTTTGCCAGTTTTGGTGGTTTCATTTTTTCCTCTAAACAGGTTGTATCTTTCTTATTGGTGCTCAAGGAAAAAAAAAACAATTAAATTTCATAGTGAAAGGGAGCGGATCAAAGCTTTTACTGACTGCTCTGCATTTCTTAATGTTCAGTACTTTTCTATTTAAGTAGATGTATATTCTGTCCTTCTATGATTTTTTGTAAGAAATATATTACCCTCAAAAGCTGTCGTTAATTTTTAAAAACTCTCATAAAATAATTATTATTAATAACTTTTTAATATGGCCGATGTATGGCCGATGGTGATTTTGCTGCTTATGTTGAGTGTTTCATAATGTCCGTTTTTTGATGCTGAAATGGCAATAAGAAAGGCAGAAGTAATATTGCCTTTATACTTTCACGTCTCTTAGAAATCAGGGACACGTACTTGTGGAACTGCATTTTTGTTGTTTTTGTTGTTTGATTTCTTAGTCAACACCATTTGATATCTTCTCTAATAATGTCTCATTATATGTTAATTAATTTCCATATACAGTATGCCCAGTGAAAAAATAAGGTTGCTCGTAGTCTTATAAATGATAAATGAATATAATTTTTGGCACCACAGGCAAGGAGCAGCATCCTGTGTGGAATGATTTTTTTTTACAAACTTGAATTTGATTAAAGTAATATCATTATGCATTGCTAACTTAATAATAGAAAAGTTAATTTCCTCAAAATGTAGAAAAATATAGTTAATCTGAGAAAATAGGAAAGACTGTGTACTGTCGGCATTTCAATTGATAAAATACTTGATCTTTATTCCCCTTCAACTATTACAGAAAATAGACTGACTTTTACCAATAGGGAGTCAGTCTATGAAACTGAAACAAAATCACCGTTATACATTAACAATGTTAAAAAGGGATTGAAAAACAGTAAACTTACCTGTACCACTAGAGGCTGCCAAAAGGACCTTTAATTCCTGTAAATAGACTAAATGGGAGTCAATTATTTATTTATTATTTATTCTAATTGATTATTATATTATTGGTGATGGGATGGAATGGTGCACATTTTCACAGGGGGTTAAATGAGCATCTCTTTGGCGTATTAACGGTTTGCACAGTGGGGGCTGAGTACCATACTGCTGAAAAAGTACAGAATATAGAACATTTTTAAATGCATTTTAAGATAAGACCATGTGCATTTGGGATGGAAATCATAAGTCATTCCTCTGGTTGCTCGGGTTTCCCCCCACAGTCCAAAGATAAATTGGTTAATTGGCTTCTAAGAAAATTGTCCCTAGTGTGAATGTATGGGTCTTCTCTGTGATGGACTGGCGTCCTGTCCAGGGACCCCTATGCCTGCTGCTTGTGGGGATGGGTTCTGGCTCCACTGTGACAATGGACTGGTTAGAAAACAGACGGATGAATGAATGAACAATGTTTTTATTATAACTGTGTTTAGGACACACCCTATTCCAGGGCACCTTACTGTACATTACAAAAAGGAAGTAGAAGGAACAATCGGGCAGATATGATATATGGTAAAAACTAATAAAATAAGAGGCAATTGTAAATAGGTCCAAAAAAATTAAATTATAAGAACTAAAACAGTAAAACTGATGATGCGGAAACACATTTAAACACACTGCTGGCTTGTGCTTGATATTTACGGTGAATAAGTGGAATTGGCATGCTACATTACTGATCTGACAATTAGAAACGTTAATCCAGAACAGTGTTGATACATTAGTTATTGAAGGATGTCATTAAGACCTGAGAGATCACAGGTGTTGTCTAAATAGATGAGGCTTGAGTAGGTGCTAAAAAGGAGGTCAGGGACCGAAGCTCTAAGCAGATTAAATTTCATGTAAATGAAAAATCGGAAAAAGATATGAAGTTTATTTAGCCTTTTTGCATATTTTTTGCCCATTCAATAGACAAAAGTGTAATAAATGTGCTATCTTCTGCATAAGGATTTCGATGTTTTCATTTATAGAGTGCTTTACATCCCAGAGGGGCTTCAGAAGTGCTTCAGATATAGGCAGGAACCCACTTCATCCAACACTGAAGTGCAGCGTCCACCTGTGTGACAGGTGGTAGCCTTTCTGTGCCAGCAGCCCTGCTGCACAGCAGATCAGGTGGAGAAGGGAGAAATTAATTCAACTGAATTAAGAGGGAGATTTGAAGGGGCCAGATTGAGCAAATCCGAAGTGGCAAAGTGGAAATTCAGCCAAGGCACAAGCTTGAATGCCCATATGCTGAGAAACATTGCCTCATACTCTTTAATGGCCACACAGTCAGGGTCTCCAAGTTAAAGTGTCAACCATGGGATGATGTCTCCTTAAAGCACAGTGAACTGTCACCATATTGGGATCCTGCTTGGCTTCCGAGATCCGATTTTCAGGATAAATTGATGACAAAAATTGTAGAACTCTATAATATATGTGAAGACAAAAACTAAAGAAATTTTAAAATATCTGCTGAACCAAAAATGATGCAACTGCAACAAGCAACAAGCAGTATGCGTGTTAAGAGCAGTGAGGGATCTGAACTTCAGCTATTGATTAAGATTTAGGATAATGAACTCTTTGTAAGGGGGAAACACGTCAGGTTGGCCATTTTAGTTTCAGTGCATACAGTAACTCTTGACTTTTAAATTGATAGAAAGTCAATCTATGGTCATGGCAATTGATATACTGTAAGATGCAAGCACTGTAGATAAAAAGCAATGATCAATTTTTATTTTAAGATGGTTTACTGAAGGAACCCCAGCAAAATGCATTATTCCCATCACCTTGTGATGAATGGGTGCATCAGATATGTAGTATTACGTATTATTTTGTTGATCTATTTTAAACTTTCGTGCACTTACTGTACCTCGTGGCATGGTTGGGTATCCTTTGCCTGCACACCTAAGTTTAATGCGCACTCAAATTTATCTGTTACTAAAGCTGCTGCCTGTACCATATTGTGAGGTAAGAGGTGCTAATTACAGCTCAGGTCATTTATGTTAGACATCAGAGCTCCCAGTCTGTGTACAGTACTTCTACATGAGATCATTCATTGTCATCTGGTGTGCAATCAAAGCAGATGTCCTGTATACAGTATATTTGGAAAAGAAAATGCTGGGATCCACAGCTCTCCCCAGTGTGGGACACTTAGGCATAACCCACTAGGGGGATCAGTGTATTTAAGCCCTTGTGTTTGTTCCTAGGGATGGGGGGGCTTTTATTTATTTTTATTAATTCAGGTACAGTTATGTCAGAGTAACTCCATAAAACACCTCGGCAGATATGAGCCCAAGGTTAAGCCTAATGAGCCCTTTCTTGGCCTGTCTGAATTAATATTCTTTTTCATTCTTTTGTTTAAAACCAGACATGTTCTTTTTTTTTTTGCTGAAAGTTTATAGTTTTATGTTCACTACATAAAATGTTGTTTTCCATTGATGGTGGAGAAGACAGATATTATCTGTTGAGTTAATATACTCTTGTCTTCGTAGTCTTAGTGCACGATAAAAGTGTGCTTTGTAATATTTTTGTACCCTCTTCTGTTTTATCAGGAGAAATTTCACCTCCCATTGGGCGCTTGGGCATTGGGTTTGAACAACTTTGGCACAACAAGGTTAAGCAATGTCCAATGGGAATCCTCACAAAATTCTGGCCATGCTTCACTCTGCTGAAGAACCTGAAACCTGGAAATTTATATACCCATAAGCAGAATTATGCACCTTAAAATCACCAGACAAATTACACTAACTCTTTCATGTAGTACCTGTTACATTCCATTGATCTGAACTATACACCCCGTGAACCTAAAATACAACAGCAACTCGTTGTCTTCAGTCTTCCCTTCTGTCCCCCATAACAATGTATAACTTAGGATTGCACCTTAAATGTGCTTTTTAAACGGTCACGTAAAAAGAGCCTTGAAACATCTTGAACATATCCAAATTGGCGAATGAATCGGATTAATTAATGAAGGATACCAGAAGATTTGTATGGTCTTTATCTTCATTCTTTGCTTTAATTGAATGAATTGGTAAAATTTTATTTATAGTTATTATTACTATTCTTAGAGTTTTTGTGCCTTATTTCCTTCAGGTACCCTGAGTCATTCACTGCATACTTCGTGCCAGGCAGTGGCCAGGAATTTGAAGTATTGCCTCGTTCAGGAGAACTGCTACCCATTGGCTCTGCTGGAACACTTATTACCATTAGCTTCACTCCAACCATGTACAGCAAGAGGCACAGAGCCACGCTGGTAATACAGGTGAGCAAAGACAAGGCAAAAGATTAAACCCTTCCTTTTGGAGGCTTAAAATTAGGTTTAACTGCCATTTCAGTCCTGGTGAGCCGTCAGCAGAAGGATATCACTCAACAGGCAATTACAACTCTCACAAATTGTTTGGTAAAGGGAAATATAAAAGAAGAATGAATACATTTGATGTACATGAAAGAGTAGCAGACAGTACAAAGGTGGTCTATAACTATTCCAGCTACATATGTTTATTTATTTTGACACTTACCACTGACATCTACCAATAATATCATGATGGTGATATTAGTATTCCTATTGACAATAACTTATGCATACTGTAGTACTAGACAAAAGACAATTTCCGTTTGGTTTAGTGCTGTTGAATTGGATAGACTGCACGCACTCTTGACACAAGTACTTATTCAGAAAAACTGCAATATTTTTGCAATGCATGTTTGCAAATGGTCCAATCCTTATTTCATCACCAATCAAATCCTGTAGGTGTTGTTAAGACAGCTGACCCTGTTCTTGAATAAAGACAGCGTGAAGCTTCTCCAGAATTGCATGGGGAAGGCTGCCATCCCCTCGATGGCATATTCCAAGCATGCACACTATGGTTTATCTCAGATTGTTTTCTGGGCTCTTTAGTTTAATCATTATCAGCCTATCAATATATATTTATATATACCAGTATATAATTAGAAATATTACAACATTTCTAACAAATTATTAGAGAAGCATTTGTATAGTAGAAGCTCTGCATTTAAGCACTGTAACGAACAGTTCTTTCCGGACCCTATGCGGACGACACAATCCGAAGAAGTGGGGAAACACTAGGAAAACGTCATGCAGGAAAACGGGGCTGAAAACAGGGGGGCGTGTCCAAAGTGCACTGGTGCACGGGGGAGGTGTGGCCGAGGCGAACAACCCGAGAGTAATCCATTGAGGGAATCCAAAAACACAAGAATAAGTCCATAGCCAGGTGATCCATCCAAACACGAAATTAAAAACACAAACCGGGTCGGAACCGGCGGACTAGGACCAGGAACAGAGGTTAAAACCTTAACGGGACCAGGCGCTTCCAGGTCCCGGACTCGCATGGTGCAGAAACCAGATGCAGAGCCAGGATGAGCGTCAGCGCCTGGCTTTTAAGGTGGGCTGGGTGAAAGGGATCAGGTGCACAGAATGAAGTCTAAAGTGAAAGGGCTGGAACCCTTAAGGAGGGGGGACTATAATCGTGACAAGCACTAAATTAATTCCAGTTCTTACAGTGCTTAAAAGCATTATATTTATTTTGTTTTTACAAAGTGTGTAACAAAAGTAAATACATTGTGTATTTGGAAGTTAGCTTTGAATTTCAAGGTAGCCTGACTGGGTAACAATTCAGAAAAAATATGTAGAAATATCAGAAATATACAAAAAGTCAACTATTTTGGTAGGTTAGAATATAGCAATTAAAATCTACAGGTGGTCTAAAATAATGTAATACTTCCTTGATTCAAGCAGCTTCCTAAGTGGCAAAATGCTGCAGGATGAATGTTTTGGTATAATGTTTTTGATGAAGAACACACAGAATCCAAAAGGTGCAATAAGGTTTCTCATACTGCTCAGACAATTCTGTCCACTGAAAGATTTAAGAAATATCCTTTTTGTAAAAAAAACAGGACAATTTACAATTTGAAACAAATATTCTCAATTACGTATTAGATTTCCAATGTTGTGTGACCACATTTTTTAGCATGTTGATATACTGTAACTGTGTACACTTTTAGAATTCACTGTGAGACACTTCTTTTTTGCCACGTCCTCACATTGATCAAACCTGTTGTTCTGACAAACTTTGTTTGTCCCTTAAGATTGTGTTCTGACTTCAACAAATCACAAACGTCTCCTATTGACAGGAAACAAATGGTTTGATATTACAGTTGAAAGCTGAACCAATGACTACTAGGTTTATTCAGAGCAAATGTTCAGTCACATCCTGTAAGAAAAATACAAATATATGTTTTCATTGCACCTTTTCTGTGATTTTGGGAGTAATCGCATGTTTGAATTAGAGGAGTTTTTTATACAAGATCATTTCAATATTCTATCGTCATGCAAGTAATTTATACGTCTGATCCAGTTTCATTTGCTTACAGCATAAAAGACTCTTGCTTGGCATATGTAACAAGATAACATCCCAGTTTTGCCTGAGAGAGAGAACTGATCTGTGGAGGGAAATTGTGTTTACAGGGTGGTTATTTTTATCTCTTTCGCATTGCAGTACAAAGCAATCATGTTTTAATTAGTGTCACAAGATTAGTGTTGCATGGAAATATGAAGAATTAATAACACTGATGGTATAATATTTATACACTATTGTGAAATATTTGGGGTATAAGAATTTGCTATGTTGGGGCACTATAACTCAGTACAGTACAAGTAGCATGCAACTTATGGAAATAAAGTATCACTTTCAAGTGTTAGGAATTTCTACCTTGTTAATTAGAAAGTGAAGGTATCTGCTTCCTTCTTCAAGAAAAAAAAAACATAGTACAGTAGTCTTTGCCTGCAGCTAATTAAAATACCTAGCCTATACAGTATGTGACCCATGTTTCTTTTGTGGAGATACACTACCCCTACTTAATATTTTTAAAAGATATGTTATACAAGACAGCCATATTAAGAATATTAAGAAGCAGCCTATTGTAAAATCAAGACTAAATTAAGGAGAACAATAATTAAAAACTCCCCACACTGATTTTTTTCAGATGATACTTCATACTTGATCTCATACTATTAATCCAACTTGATTGTTGATCAAACAGCAGCATTATCGAATGACTGCACCTTCTGAGGAAGAAGGTCCATTATATATTTACAAAGGGAGAAAAACAGGGAGCATAAAAGTGCCAGTGGCTGCTGAAAAAGTCAACATTCCCAAGCACCTGCAGCTAAGGTGAAAACTGCAATTAGACTGGCTTTAAAAGGAGGATTTGAGCGAAGGAGAACAAGTCCTTCAGTTGTTCCAGCTAATCTGTTTGCATTGATGTCTGAATTACCTTGAGCTCAGTCTAATTAGATTTGAGTGATGATATTTACTGAAGCACCAAATGTCAAGGGCTGGGCCTAAATTGTGAGCAGCTGGCAACAAGGTTGATATATTTTTTTTACCAGATTCATAACACATGACAGGAAAATGCAACTAATTTTGCCAATAAGTAGGATTATCTGGATACTTTTGGGAGAATGTCATTTAATTGTACTTCCTTTTGAATACTGGATATATAATGTAATAACATACAGTAGGTTGCTAGTTTTTTATGATGATGTAATGTTTAAAAAGAGACTGTGTGTGCTACAGAAAGATACATAATTACTAACAATTAAAAAAATCATTAACCCAAAGTAAACCTTTCATTTAATTTAAATCATATTTAGTTTTCCTACTATGCTACCACACTTCTTTTTTTAAATAATTGCGAGTTTTTTGCACTTCATGTTGCAATTGTGTTTTTATAGTAATTAATATTTTTGAGTTGATGTTGAATCACAAAAGGTAATTCTTGCTAATGGGGAAAAAGTAGTTTATAAATGTTTCATGAATGCTAGGGGGATGTGTCTAATGGGTTGTTGTAAAACACAATCTCAATGGACAAAAGGTTTATAATTAAGTTTCCTTGAGTTTCTACCTTAAGGTCAAATCTTAGATTTAAACTAAGAAAGATAATTAGATGTTTAAAGGCAAACAGGGTTTGATGTGTTTACAAAGATAAATCATCTCCTTCTGATTTCTGAAAAAATAATTTTCTTGTTAATTATGTGCATGCAATGGTTACAAATAGAGTTCTTGAAAAAAGTTGTTGCAAGTTAGAAAGTTAATTGTGTTTGAAAGCTTTAGCAGTAGTAAACAAAAACTTTTTCTGCAAACAAGTAAGGAGGAGAGAGGAGAAATCCTGTCTATAGACAATAGTACATTATCTAATATGATATAAAATATACAGTATAATATATAATACAAGGAATGATATATACTGTAAAAGTAATTATTATATATTATATGTTATATCTTATGTGATATCAATTTAAAAAAAAATAAATGCAAGTTCATATCATGAAGTTGGTAATAGGGTAAAATAAAATTTTCATTCTAATTCTAGTGGGGAACGTACAGTATGTCCTCTCACATTTCAGTTGTAAGAGTCTTTGTGTTTTCTTTTTCTTATGTGTGCAATAAACAAGTGCTTGATTCTGCTTTGGGATGTTTAAATTGTAGGCTCTGGCTCTGTATTGATGAGATTATTATTGACAGTGTTCATGACAGAAATCTTTGATGTTTACACTTTTGAAATAATCGTTGTGGAATCCTCATGAGAAAGCTTAGGTACAGTAGTTGCAAACTGATGGAAAGTGTAAAAATGTATAGGACATCACAGAGTATAGTGAATCATTACTTAGTGTTTTGGCTCTATGAATGCAGTATATACAAATGTATATACATATGTGTGTGTGTGTGTCTTTAAATTGTATTTAGCTGTTACCAATAAATCATGTTTCCATATATTTAAAAAAAATGGATAGGAAATTACATTTATTTTTCTCATCATGGTATTTTGTAAGTATACTTTACAAAATAGACATATAGCAGTTTTAGTCCTGTTACATTCCTTGGAACTATTGTAAGGTCACACCAAAATCACGTGCCTACTGTATAATTAGATTATAAATATCCAATACTGCATACATTAAATTTAATCAAATTTAGTTGACGACATGACAAGTATGTACTGTAGGTAACCCAAGGCTAGATCTTCTTTTGCCAGTCCTCCTTTTTTGCTTATTTAGTTACTGCCCTAGTTTTGTTTTGTGTGAGTTCCTAAACTGTTTAAGATGATGGAGACCCAAAGTAAATGATACTGATTTCCTGTTTGTTTCTCACCTAAGTGAAATTAAAAGTTTGATTCTTCTGAATTTACTAAGACAGCTTCTATGCTAATGTTCTCCACAGAGCAACAGGCACTGCTGGTCAAAACTGTGGTTGTGACTGTAGTGACAGGTGACCTAACCACTCAGTTGTCAACCATACTGCAAGTGGTCTTTAAACAGAGTGTTGTCTCAGACAAACAAGAGGTATAGTACAAAAACAGTACTAGATATTCAAACAGAAAAGCCGGAAATTCTGATAATTAAGGTGAAAGTGCTGCAAAATAAATTACATTGAAATAATGTTCACACAGTAGTCTTACCAGGGAGAGCTGAATGTGATGTTCCTGTTGGGTTCTTGATCCTTAATCTGCTTGACACGGCAAAACGTTTTGGAAAGAGCACAAATCATATAGGGAAACCACTCTTCTGGAAGCCATGACAAGCCCCAAAATATTTTTCATCAGACTTCTCCAGTGGAGACTCCTCCTTTTTCAGAAAAAAATGCACCCCAGCTCTGTTTGCTTGTCTGGGGAATCAGTGCTGTCCAGCAACTGCTTAATAGAGACATGCCTTTGCAGTTGTGAGAAGTTCATGGAGAGATCAGTTGTATCCCGGGGCCGGCATTCTATTCCGGAATTCTATTCCGTTGGGCCCCTGAGCAAGGCCCTTAACCCCAACTGCTCCAGGGGCGCTGTATAAATGGCTGACCCTGCGCTCTGACCCCCAGCTTCTCTCCATGTCTGTGTGTCTCATGGAGGGCAAGTTGTGGTATGCAAAAAAAGACAAATTCCTAATACAAGAAATTGTATGTGGCCAATAAAGTGATCTTATCTTATCTAATTTCTACCTGTGTTATGCTGTCATACTATTTTTGCTTAACAGCTTTTGTAAATTCCTTATTAATTAAAAATATATTATTCTGGAACTTAACAGCTTCCTTTTTCTAAGGCCATATTGGAAATCAGCCTCATAAGAAAATTAAATGCAGTGCTAGGATATCACCCTTCATGTCTTTTTTATTTTCTTCCTCACTTTGTGTTAACTATCATCCTTTGTGTTAGCTTCTTTGCTGGCTTTAGGTTTATTTAACCAGATTATCTCACCACAGTCAAACAGACTTTATGAAAGTGTGTCTGGCCTCTTATAACATTTGCAGTCTTCATCACATTATACACATGACTACAGACCCCCCCTCCTTCCTGTTCTGTCAATAAAGATCAAGGCTTTTGATTTTCAGAATATCTAATGCCAATCCTGAAATATATTGGCTTGGGATCAGGTTTTTTAATAAGGTTAAAATGTTATATCCTAACCCCTCAGCAATGGTGTTGTCAGGCAACATGTGTTCTCCCCAATTTGCTATTTCTGTGCCCACTCATCAGAGGTGATCACATTCACCTTTGTTGTTTGCTGAAATCTCCATGCTGCAATGTATATGGCCTCCTCTAGGGACTGAGTCTGTCTACAGAAAGCAAAATTTGTTTGACTTCATGGCAAACTAAAGGGATTGTCCTCCTCTGTTTTTTTTGCAGGGTTCATATAAACCCTTAGCAACGTTTACAATTCACGTAGGGACTTGAATTTCACAGATTAAACTTCCTGGGACAATATTTGGGATAATTCTAATAATGACTGGCTTTATTGCCTTTATTATCATTGAATCCTAGCTCAGGTTCATAGCACTTACAGAAAACTCTCTGCTGCTTGGATCAAAGAGGCCTGGGAGTGAGAGATGATGGAGGCTTGAATTGTTACCGCTGATGCAAGCAATCCCTTATTGCTTGGTGCTTCTAATGCAGGTGTATACTGTATGTTCACGGGAATTCTTTTGCTAGTAAAGTTAACTACGACGGCTGTAGATCTGATGCCTGACATTGCTCCTCTTACACACATTATATAACCTGACGTTAGAACAAAAAAAAACGGATCTCCTTTTGGTGGCATGTCTCAAGGGACATTTGCACATGAGACACTGCAAAGACAGCTACTGTAGTTGTATTTTAAAGTCTAGGCGGCTTTCTGTCTTTGGTTTTAAAAAGAAAATAAACTTAAGGCTTCTGAAATATAACATGAAAGGGTTTATACAAAATAGACAGAAACTGCTTTAAAGAGGCTAGCTTCCCCAGAACTGCAAATGTTACTACGTACTAACTTCACCCAACTCTCCTCAGTCTCCTGCCTAACACTCATACTGTATGTTCTCAGCGTGTTCGTGTGGCTTTCCTCCAGGCACTGTATGTTGCTTGCCGGGATAGGCTCTGCCCGTGACTCTGAATTGGATGAAAATGGGTTGTTGGATGAACACCAAAAACAATTATGCAACATCTACTTTATTACCATACTGTATACCTTATTTTTGTCAGAACCATTCATGCACAAATAGAATTCGTTACTTCTGATCCTGAATATCCATCTGTCCAATGGTTCCTGGCTTCTTCCATGAAAAGCCAACCAAGTGATCTAGATGGGCCAGTTGGCCTCCTCTTCTGATCATCTGTTTTAAAATCTCAATTTTACTGCACTTAACTATGCAGTGTCCTTGAGTTTGGCAAGGTGCTTTATAAACAGAAGTTTATTTTTATTATTAAACCATGAAGCGCACCTTTTTGTGAAATCAGTAGCCATTGTTGTTTAATTGGAAACATTTCACATTATTTCGATTTTATTTTTGAATGACTTTCTACCTAAAATGATTAACACCATAAAATGGTAGAGATTTTAAACCTTTATGCAGGAGCACCCACTCACATTTTTATTTTATATTGTTTCTGTTTTAAATATACAACAAGTCAGATGAGTTCCCATGCCCATTATTTGAACAGGCTTTATGTGAGAGTATGTTCTCATGGGCCTGTATTTAACTTTTATTACTGAACATGTTCCCCTTTGCCTAGTCCTGCTCTGTGTTGAATGTGTGGCCAGTTCCCATGGGCCTGATGATAATTATGTTATTGTTCTTAGGGGCTACACACCATTGTGTTGTAGAACAGTATTGTTTTCACTCACTAGTGTTAAAACAAACAGAAAAATCCTGTCTTTGGAAAAAAAAACTTAGACAGCTTGATACGTAAAAAATACTGCTTTCAAAGACAATATGCTTTTGATCTACAGTACAACATTACTTAACAGATGTGGGTGCAGACAAATGTTGAACTAAAACAAAATAAAGCAGTTGTGTCTCTGGATTTTATCGCAGTTGCATGTCTACCTTACACCATTTTGACTCTTTAGAAATCCGACTTTTTGTCCTTGCCTTCATGAAAAGAGAGCTTCATGGGTGATTGTATACATATTTATATTACAACATCCGGCAGTTTATATATTGTATGCAGTTGCTGATACAGTACTGTATATACTGTAGCTGCTGACCAATATTTTTGTACCTGACTGGAAAGGTTAGCCCTGATGCTAAGAAAAAAAACATGGACTTGTGAAACCCATAATGTATGAGGTTTTGGATTGTTTGTATGAACAGTATAGTTTGTATGACGGAAGGGAGTCTGATTCAAGTGTTCAAAATCCTCAGGGGCTTTCAAAAATCAGATGTACCTGTATGGGGATTTTTTAAAGACTTTCGTTGATTCCTGGAAATGAGCATTGAAACAGCGGAGGAAACAAATGGAAACTAAGGAGAAGTGCATCTAAAACCGATTACAAGTGATATTTCTTTACACACGGGGCAGGAAGAGTTGAGGAACTCTTAACAAGCCATCTTGCTGCCCCAGCTTCTATCATGAGATCCTTAGATTAATTATCTAATTAAGATGGAACCCGCTAAATGGCCTTAATGTCCTCCTGTCCTTTGGAAAAGGTCATCGCCCTAAAATCCCCCAATATCATAGTTTGCCATTACCATTACACATAGACCTGGGAGTCAATCGCTGTTTTGAGTGTCCTTCTGTTTCTTGTTCTTGGTTTAGCCTACAGTCAACCCTAGCCTGTTTGTAATAGCTCCCAGCCTGAGACTCTGCTCTTCCAGACACTCTTCTATGACGTACTGTACTGTAGAACTTCTAAGGTGTGACTGATGATGTGCCACTCATCACCGGTGTCATTTTGCAAGATGACAGTGCTCCCTGCAAGGCCAGGATTGCAGTGTATGGAGAAATTTGTTCTTTCCTCCTATGAAATGGATGTGGTGGATAATTCACAAATTCACTTTACTTCCATAGTCTAGTTTGGTCTTACTCACATATTCTACTCCTGTCAGAATTCTGCATGCTTCTTTCAACCCGGCACCAAACAGAGAAGGACCTGGTGCCTAAAGCTGGCTTTGAATCTGAAAATCACAAGCAATAGTAATAAGTTAGTAAAATCAATATGTTTCTTTAATTCCCACAGCTTGGAGAGCAACTCTTCTCAAAATTGCAGGTAGTACACATTTAAGGAAATGCACGCATTTGGATTTAGACCTGGTTAATATTTCTAAAACCAGCAGTACATACTGTATCAGGGGTGAATGATCACATTGGTACCACAGGATGTTAGGATGTGCAGAATGTTACGGTACATGCAGGGGGAATATACATAAGCTATGAATTTAATAAAAAAAACAATGAGATTGAAGAATCTATGGTACCTATGAAAAAGACTTTGGTGTTTATTTTGGCACCGTTCTCATCTTCTAGAGAATTATGGGAAGCATTAAAAAGTCAACCGGAGTGATAGGATAACTAAAAGTGTAGAATTTAAAATAAATGTAATATTAAAATTGTACAATGAACAGAAACCAACAGGTGTGTGGGTCACCAGGACCAGGATCGGGAACCACGGCAGTCAAGGATGCCGGCAGTGGTGGCAATGGAAACTCTTCTGCCCAGTCCAGAGTCAAGTGCTCAGTGGCTTTTGTCTGTCTGTTTCTCATGTGAGAGGTGTAGAGGTCTCATCATCAGTGTCCCTCTTCCAGACAGCTGATATGCAGTGGACCTACGAGGTGAACGGGGTGCCGCCGCGTTACACGCCCCCCTCTCCCGGGACGTCCGCAGCGGTGTCCTCAGGGCCGGTGAGGACCGTTTCAGTTCAGCAGCGCAACTTCGTCCGCGAGAACCTGCAGCTGAGAACCACAGCGGCGTCCTCTCCCATTAAGGGCCAGCCCCTCACCATTCGGAGCAAATAAAAGAAGAGTGCGCGCTCTCCGCGGGACCACTGTGTATCTCATGTCTCAGCACTAAACTAAGCCCAGCTATCTCCTTGGTTATGGGTTTGACAACAGCACCGTAACTCTCTCTTCCTCTGATCTCTTTCTTACAGATGTATCAACGAGCCCCAGCCTGGGTTTTTTTTTACTTCTTTCCTCACATGTGATCCTAAAAAATGCAAGAAACACATCTTCAGTTTATCTTTCTGATCATCTTTGCTTCAGAAGCGAGTGGAAAGACTTATGTGGTTAGGTTGGGATGGTCCAAAGACAAGTTAAAAAAAAGATAGACTTGTTAATCAAAGTGTTAAGAGAGGTAATGATGGACTTTTTATTCAATATTTTTTTAATAGCATTTAAGCGTTCATTAACTATATTTGAAATTTGTTTGGAGTGTTATAAACCATTAGGTCTCCTGGCAGGTGGTGTAGCTGATATGCTGACAGGTGAAATTATATCCAGAAGATCATTTTTGCTTCCTTAAAATAAGAAACAAATCGAGCAAATTGGCAAATAAGGAAAAAAGAAGTTTATCTGAAGCATGACTGACAATGAAATTACATTAACAGTCACTTTTCTAGCTTATCATTATAACATTATCTACTTCAGCCCCTCTGCTCTTTCTAATAAGCATTTAGAACTAATTTTGCTATTTTAATGTACTGTATGTATGAAATACTGTATGCCAATTGTCACTTTAAACACAAATCACCATTCTTTCTCTTTTACAATGCGAGATAACAAAACACTACGCTTTGTAAAGAACCGCAATGAAGAAAGCATGTAGACTTCCATAGGTTAAAGAGATGTTAAAGCTTTTTTTTCCACCTTAAAGTTTTTAGCCAGAGATGGGTGAAAACCAGTGTTCTGGGAATTGTCTCAATAGAAAGACTTATATACCAAGGAGTAAAGCTTCTTCTGCTTGTCAAGCAAGCCTGTTATAAATCCATTTAACAGAACATTGCTGAAGCAAATTGCCTTGTTTGAAGAGGAAAGACAAGTAGGTATCCACTTGTCTACAAAAAGGTCACTGTGATTGTTAAAAAGTACTGTAGTTCGTTTAAAAAAAGAAGAAATAAAATAACTTGAAAAAAATGTCTGGTACTATATAGAGTAGAGTTTGTAGAGTTTATCTTTTAAAAGCCATCATGGCTGGAAGTTGATGAACTCGCAGTAACGGAGACTGATATTTGTAAGACATTCTAAATGTAATTTTACAATCATAAAATAGCTCATCTCTCCACCTGCGCTGTGAACTTTTTTGTATGGGTTTCCAATTTTCCATTTGGGGAACTGGCAGTGACATTAAAATGTCTGACATGTAAAAATATGGAGGATATATTTCATGCAAATGGAGGCAATAAAGTATGGATATGGATTTGATTCACTCCAGTTGACTCTTTTATGGATCATCAGATATATTCTGAAGTTATTTAAAAAGCAGTTAACATTCCATTAGCAACAAGCTATAATCCGTGTCAGCGGGGAGATACTTGCTCGGTCATTTATTTCAGCATGAAAACTCACTACAGGGAGGATTACAATTAGAACATATCTATGAGGCAGATGAATTCAAAGACCAAAGCTGTGCATCTATCATTCAGCTCTCAAATCCGATGATTTACAAATAGATGTGTAGAGACAACTATCATAGCTGTGTATCTTCCTTTTCTTATAAAGAGTAAAATTATGCAATCACATTTTCTTGATTCATTTGTGATATCGTTGATTCAATTTTGGTGCAAATGAATCTTGATACCTTCCTACAGAATATTAAAAAAGAGGTCTGAGTGAAATAAATAAAAATACATGAAATATACTGTAAAATGCTTTTACAAAAGTTTATATATATTCTATATATCAAGACGAAAGCATTCTTACAGAGTTTTACTAAAAGAGTCAATTGGACAGCTTTTATTTCTCAGTGCTTGTAACTATATTCTAGTTTTGTTAAGATTGCTGTATGATAGCTTTAATCAATGTAAAAAGCACAAAACAAAAGGTACATCATTGCTTTAATTACAGAGTTTATACATGGGCAGCTCTTGATCCTTGTGCTCAACTAGTATTTTTACAAGATTTTCATTACAGTATACTCCATTATATCGTTCATTCAAATTCTCGTCTGTCAACCCTGGATTTAACCTGGAGGAAACCATGTGGGTGTGCATTTAAATCTGAGCACAGCTTTAAAGATGGTGAAGGTACTGAACAAATTATCCAATACTGGTAATAAGTCTTGAGCAGAATAAGATGTCGTTGTTCCTAGAGAACTCCCAAGTGGACGATGGGCCAAACAGCCTCCTCTCATTTGCCTCTGTTCTTCTGTTCATTTCCCTTTGGGGGCCGGTTTCGAGAACAGTAATATTCCCACTCACCCCCCACGTTCATTCCACTTATTGACTTCATTGAATGACTCAACAGGTTGCTTGAGTGGAACCTGTACAAGGTTTGTTTTTGTTTTTTTCTCAAAATGTAAAGAAATCATAAGTTACTTCTGTAATACAGTAGTAAAAAGGCTACTTTTAATGCTATTACTGTATTAGGTCAATTAGGGTCCCAATTCAATTAAATGGGAGCTCAGCTGAAATTAAAACCAGCAGGCTTGTGGGTCCCCAGGACCAGTTTGGCCCCTCTTTAGAGGTGCCAGGACACCAGTACTTTGTGCAGATCTAATTACATTTTTTTTGCCAAAACTACAGCTGGATACCATGAGCTTCTTTTGTCTTTTTTCTTTGGAGTACTAATGGAAAGTGATCTACATATGGGAGATAATCACCCAGATGAAAAAATAATTGTATTGACTGCACAACATCACACCTTAAGTAAAATATAGATGGGAAAATACAGTACTTTACATTTTTGTGTGTTGTGTAATCTCCCAATTTACGTAATATACTGTATATATGTACTGTATATACAGTACTGTGCATACTGTATATAAGTGTAGACAGGTAATAGGAAAATAGGAAGATCTGTGTTCTCAGTATTCATGTATTAATATTCCACCTTGGGTACTGTGTGTGGAGATATGGGCGACTGAACAAGAACGTAACATTCCAATAAGAAATTGTCACCCCAATCCCACATTTATAAAAGTCACTTGTGACTTACAACATAAATCGCACTTTTTTATCTGCATTACCATTTTTTTCTACATAAATGCTCTCGTTGGATCCACACTGCACATTTTAAAGAAAAAAAAGCAAAAGCAAAAAATGAAATAAAGAGAGAACATGGGTCGTTTTGTGCCAGCTGTGGTTTGCTGAACTCTGAAAATCATCAGTCTTCTGAATCTTGACCTCACAGCGAGGCTGTTGATCATGCTGCTATCTGAGGTTGCCATGGAAACCAAGACAAATGAGTCACCCCCCCCACTCTGTACTCAGAAGTGTAGCCACTATGTCCCACGAGTGGCCTACAAGAATCTTTCCATTTCCCTTGCTGTTACTAACATAAGCATTGGCAGAACTGCAGAGAAATTGCTTGGAGTAATGGATGGATAATTATGTAAAGTTTCGAACTAAATTCCTGTCTGTACACAAGATCAATTTATTTATTTGATCAATGTATGAGGTTTTATATTGTTGTTTCACATGTAGTTTTCATGGTGTGCCTCTGCTGGCTTTACCCTTTTATTCTCACATGAGAGAAAAAGATGACCCCAATCTTTGACCTCTTTTATCCTCTGGTTGGCATTTCCTTTAATCTACCTGTGCAGGACTCTTTTAGATCCACTTTAGCTCTTAAATGGCCTATTGTAAGGAGTGCCATAGTAAGTACAGTTTTCTAAAAGATGTGTGTCTATATAGACGAATTGCAGCAGCAACAGCTTTCCATTACCTAGAGCTGTGAAACTATTAACCATCTGTGTGGAAGGGGAGGCACAGGTATTTATTAGAGGCCGCAGACCTCTGATCTACAGGTTCGATGAGACGCTCCAGACGATTGCTTGCACTTTTCTCACTGGCTGAGGGCTCATCCAACAGTACTTACAAAATATACTGTACATAAAAGAAGGGAGCCCATAATTAGGAGCACTAATTGTACATGGGTCACAGCCCACAGCAGGAGCACGACATACAATAATAACTTTTCATATCTCTTTTCAATCGCAAGGATGCAGGCTTATATTCTCTCCACACATTATAGGTAAGGAATGAAAAAATGACTCTTTAAGAATTTATTTTATTAGTTGTACCGTATGTGAAATTAGAATTTGATATTGAGAAGCATACAGGATAATAAATGACCTGGAGTAAATAAAGAGTTTTATAATGTTGTGTTTTTTGGAATACCTAGTAGAAAAGTCACAGTAATAATTTAAATTGAAAGAAAAATGCTGTTCCTGTTAAATGTTAATTCTTGTGAAAAGAAAAAATGTTGCATCCTGCCCATAGTTTCAAGAATACAGGACATTTTTAATTCGAAACTGTAAGTCTATTGAGTCCTTTAATAAGCAAATTAGTATTATTTCGGGGGTTTATTGCACCATTATTTTGCATTTCACATTTTTGTTGTAATCAACATGCATACCAAGGGCTTTTACAGTAAATGTCTGTGGGTTCAGGATAGAGTAGAACCTCTGTGTACTGTGTGCTCAGTCCCCAGGCCTTGCAGGGACTTTTAATACAGTATTAATAGTTGTACGTATTACAGAGGATTTACAAAGCAAGCCTGGATGCTCATAGACACTTGCGTCCTTACAGAGTCTATCCAAAGTTGATCTCCTATTGTTTTCATGTTCGGATTTAATGAATTTCACTCCAAATCAGAAAGGTGCATTTGTGCTGACCTGGGGTTAATTGATCTTGGTAATAATGCTGCTCCTGAGCAAGAATGCACAAAACCCTGAAGAATAATGTTTCAGTGCTGCATCTGTCCATGTTCCTTTGCGCTGTTCTGGTAACTGATAACCTGTATTGAAATGTCTTCTTTTCATTAACGCTTGTTGCTATGACAGAACAACCTTCAGAATGAGCTGAGACACTAAAAGATAGAAAGAAAATTAGAAACGGCATTTCAGTTCTTTATCTTCACAAGGCGCTTTTTTGCTTTAACCAGGGTCATTGCTATTCAATTAATTTCCTTACTTTATTGAGCAAAATAACAGAAATAGTTGTTCCACTATGATAAATCCATGCAAATTAACACAGTACAAAATAGATTACATTTAGCCATAAAGGCCAATTTAAATATAAATAGCAGCCTGTTGATTTTCATATTATGTTCAGTTTACTCTTCTCTTGTTGTCGTGCTTTATAAAAACACTGTACATCCTAGCCTCAAATTCGGAGGTCTTGAAGCAATGTTAGTAAGTCAACCTAACTGTGGTACATCTGTTGCTGCAAACAGTGGTGGAGGAGTACAGGGTGAATGCAGAGATCAGGAGCTTTACTGAGGCTGTGTGCTGCATGCAGCTGTGGAGAGTTTGTGGGTCTTACCCAACTGCATGAGTTTGTGGGTCTTTGGGTGGTTTTGGAGAGTTAAAGGGGAAGCTTAGCCAGAGCCCGGCAGAGGCTGCTGAAGGTGTATAGGAGCTTGAAAAAAGGAAAAGTCCGCTTCTAAGGCCGGTGGAAAAAGCCACTGAGAGTGTAGAAGTGCTCCAAGATACTGAAAACGAAGTCTTCATTAGGACCTGGGAGAGAAACTGGCTCTCGTAGACAAAATGTCTGGATCACAGCCTGCGGTCAGACGGCCGAGCGGCAAGCTGATCTTCTAAGAGGGCTCAATGTCAGAGCGCTTCCACAGGGGTGTTGTGGGACAGGGCACCTGCCTGGTAGGGGGATGGAGAGAGACTGAGAGGTGCCCAGCCTGGATCCCCAGCTCCGGGGATCTAGGCTTGGAATACATCGGGATGCATTGAGTTTAAGAAAGCTGGAACCTGTTATGGGAAGGTCACGGATTCCCAGAGCAAGTAAGGGCTGCGAGCTGCCACATGCCCAGGAGTAACAAACTGGTGCATAGTTAGGTCACTGATGATGACAGTGCACAGCATGCAATCCTGTTCAATGAATTTGAAGAAGTTATTGAAAACACATCCTATGTTATTGGTATTTAATATTAACTATGTTTCAAACAACATCATCGATCACTTGATATTTATTTTGTTTGATTAAATAAAGCCCTGACTGTAAGAAATCTCTTTCATTGAATGAACAGTAAGGGATACAGGTTATGTAGCTTAGCCTACAGTTGACAGAACTGCATATTTCAAAATCTGTGGAATGCAAAGAACATCTCAGAAATCATGTCCTCAACATTTTTTTCATATCTGAGTTTTTGTCTGATTCATCAACATTACAAGATAATTACCTTGATTCAGGACTATTGGTATTTCATAACATGAGACTTAATTTAGACAGAACTGCTAAAATCATTTCCAAGATGTTTCATCTTTATATTCCATATGAGAGAAAAAATAATTTTGATTGATATCTGCTTTATATCTCCATGAGTAGCTGAGAATCCAGTATATTTAACCTTTACAGCACTATTTTTTATTTATATATTTCACAATAACC